GGGCGTGGCAGTTTAGACTTAATATAAAGGTAGAATATAGGGTATTTCTCCTGACATGTCTAATCAAATGCAGTTGTGCTTGGAGTAAATTTATACTATACTTGACTATTATACCATTATCACCATGGTTAATTAAAGTGCATTCCGCACTTTGATTACCCACTCTTGTGACACACCTTTGCTCTCTATACCTCCACCTCCATTCTTCTTCTTCTCCTCCTCCTCCCTCCAACTCCTCCTCCCCTCCACCTCCTCCTCCTCCTCCTCCTCTTTCCTTTGAATATAATGATAATCATTTCTGTACATAATCTCATTATGTTTGCCAGTAAGATGAGCAAAAATCTTTAAAACCATGAAAGAAATTGGATGGATAAACCAATGTCACATTTTTCAAAAGCTGTATCTGTTAATTTTTTTTTGTAAATGACTATTCGCAGAAAATCAAACAGATTTACTAGGGACTAACAGGGTATATATTTTACAGTAGGTGATAGTATGCAAATATCTTTAAAAATATGAAGGAGTTCGGAGAAAAAAGATAAAAAGTAATTGTAAATTGCTATCTTACATCACACTTCTAAAATGACATTGTGCCATTCCACGATCTATGGTGATTTTAACAAAATGTTTCATATTTGCATCTAAAGACTTCACATCGCTAAGTTTTTAGGCTGCTATCCATTTTATGCATTTGTTTAGTGTAAGGAAGTCATGACATCATGATGTTACAACGTATCTTGTATGCATACATTGTAGGTAACACAATTTTCTATTGATCTGGAAAGTCTCACAGCTTAATATCAAATATTTTTTTAAAAGATTTTTTTTTCCGAGCCTCTATCAGAACTTGTCGCGTTCTTCCTTAAAGAATATTAAACTAATTTTAGAACCATCTGACAGAATTTAACAATAATAAAAGAATCTCCCTCTCTCCTTCAGGATTGGTACATTTAGTGTGAAAGACAGGGCTAAAATCACAGACTGTTTCGAGTTTGGGCATTGAAGCCTAATGATCAGAATAAAAAAGCGATGAAGTGCCGAACATGGTTTCTGGGCAACACTAGATCCTTATTCTTAAACTAAAAGAGCTTATTCAACATATCAAAGTATGTATAATGTGAACTTTTATCAACAGATGAAGGCAAAAGGCATTAAGAAGACTACAAAGCTCACGGCTGCAATGGTGGTTATAATAATAATAATAATAATAATAATAATAATAATAATAATAATAATAATAATAATAATATCATCATCTGCTTCTTGTACATTTGAATCTTCTTTTTCTGAATTAAATGTGCACCATGTACAACAAAAGATGAAAATCAAAATAACTCACAGACAGTAGAGGATGAGGATGATAAAAACAAACATATAATTCGATTGGAAGTAGTCTACATTCTTGATCATTCTCTTGGTCCATCTCTGCACATTAGGTGGAACCTGAAAAAAGAATAACTTCCTTTACTTTCAATTTATGGCAGATTAGATTAGTCAAAGTATATATATAACATGGCCATTAAAGGAAATCAATTATCAAACATAAGTAAAGTATATCACAATGCCCATATTACAATCATTTTCCAAAATGCAAAATGACTTTCAGAAGTGTATGAGTGCATGATACACAGTTAACCACAAAACATCAACCTATAAGGGGGAAGAAAGAAAGAAATGAAAAAAAGGAAAAAAGGAATATGGGCGAAGAAAGAAAGAAATGAAAAAATGAAAAAAGGAATATAGCCGAAGAAAAATTGCCTCTTACCCCACCAACTTCTCAACCAAGATTGCAGAAATTTTCCCCACCAAACTAACTCTACCAATAATCCCTCCTCCATCCAATACCTTGAACTTCTGTGTGTTGACGAAGACCAACCACGGTCGGACATTCTCCCTCCGGCGAGTGATCCACTCCCTGGCAGCTGGAGAGGCCAGCTGGAGTTGGACGGGCAGCTGCATCAGGAGCCTAGAAGGGATTTAGAAATGAGATCTGAGTTCATATATTTACTTTTATTTATCTACTTCTATATCAATATCAAAGTGTGGTTCTGTGCGCACATGTAAGGAATGTCACTGTGCCAAGTGGTAAAGAAAGACAAAGGAAGTATACAAGGGGAGAAAGAATGAAAGAAAGAAAGAAAGAAAGAAGAAAAAATATGACAGAAAATGATTAAGAAAGAATAAAAGAAAGATTGCAAGAAAAGCCTTTCAACAACGACTTTGAATACCATCAACATTTTCCATCTCTTAAAATTTTCCTTCTTATAAAACAATGTTTTTCCTACAACATATATATTCCCACAAACAAAGAAAAGAATAAAAGTCAAAATAAATGATTTATCTACAACAGCAAGGAATTAAGGACATCTCCAAATGGCACATAACACTCATACTACAAGAGAAACACCTGCTGCCCACAACACACCTGTGCTGGCTGACCAAGGCTTTGAGTCATACTATCTAAAATTCAGGAGAGAGGTGGGAAGGAAGGAAGGGGGGGGGGGGACATTTCTATATGCTCTTTTTGTCAAAGCTGAGAGTATTACTATACATTCTGATTTCTTACTGTATCATAGTGTTACTACCTTCATTTATATAATAATTAAACCTACACCACTGCATTAATTAGGACTGAAGAGAAATGGCTGGTAATGCACATTTTCTATTGATTCTCTCTTTCCACTAATACTTCTCTTTCCTAAGAAACTATGACTAGTTAGAGTTGACACTTTCAGTGCAAGAATCTTGAGGAAAGGCTACAAATAACTTTTTTATGCCAAAATTTGTACTTATATGATCAGAAAATGCTTATGGATAATGCTATGCTAGTGTATCACAAAACCTGAACGTTGAAAGATATAGTGACTAATCTTCTGACAATGACCAAATTTCTATACAATTTTGCCACAAAAACACAAAAGTGAAGTGCATAATGTTAAGTAGCAAACATTTATGTAATAAAGTAATTTTCCCTATATACATACATCATATAACATTTAACTTATCAGTATTTCAAATTCAAGTTGATACTGGAGTCATTTTCAGGCACAAAGAGAAATTCATTACACTGTAAAATATTTTTGGAAGCACCAAAATCATATGAAATCAATAATTCTTTCCTTCTTTTTCTCCTGAAAATCAAACCAACCTATTTTGAGAGATAAGAGCAACAAAAGTACAAAACATAAAAATAGCAAAATTACCCAAGGTTGAATCCCAAGCCAACAAATTTGAGAAATAAGAGACACATTCTCCTTGATAGCCACCACCTCTGTCTGTACAAGTGGTAGTGAATTGGACAGTGTGAAGTGTCTATTGCAAGAGAGTTCTGCCCATAACCAGTCCTTCAAGGGCCTTTGCTTCACACACACACTCTGGGAACTCACTTCTTGAGAGCACTTGACTCCTGGTAGGTACTGTCACCATCCATGTCAAACGGGTCGGCCACAACCAACTCCGACTGTTCGCTCATCCCACTGGGACCAAGCATATGTATGTATTATGTGGCACAGGTGCAAGTTTATCACCTAATAGATTATTTACACATATTCAACATATACACCATAAGACAGTAAATTCTGTCTTAAAGAAATATATGTATTCAGGAATAATAAGGTAGAATTAGACTAATAGAGAAATATATTGAGAAAAAACACCCAATGAAGAAATATGGCATCACTTTAGTATTCAGATGTTCACCCTCCCTCATTCTGATCTCCCACCTGGACAGGTGTGTGGTACATTAATCAGGGATATTATCAATACACTATGAATAAAAAATTGCCAACAAACATGATTTTTTCTTCTTCAAAATTTGCTATTAAGTGGTTTGTTTGGATATACCTTCAGAATACTGCTAGTTAATCTTGAGTATAATATGTAGTATTTAAGGTAATTAGTTTTACTTTCCATTCATTAACTAACTTAGAATTCTTACTGATGGATATTACCATGAAAACATGAAAACATTTACAAATAGCATACACACACAAAAAAAACTACAGAACATCTATGCACAGAATTCACAAAAATGAAAGATGGAAGAAAATTTCACCTGAAAATCTTCCAAGGAAAATACTGCATCTGATCTCAGCAGCTGCACTATTAAAACTGGCTGTCGATAGTGTGCCCTGTCCTTTGCCTCCTACACACTTAAAACACATACACCCATCCGACCTCCCCATTCTACCCCCAAAACCTAAATGGTTTATATCTTTTGCATTCTTCAGTATTTTCTTTGTTTTGTAACTCTATCCATAAGTCCCAGCATTCTTCATATTCAATCATTTAGCTTTCTATTCTTCTGTGACAACACTGACATTCTGAACCTCCTCCCACTGCAGTCAGACTTGATGAGTCTAACAGAGGAGTTTGGCTTGCGGGATGCTGCACTATGAGGGTAATGTTACAACAGGATAAGTTATCCTTTTGATCAATTTAATTTCTAAAAAGAACTATTAGGGTATTGTAATATCTAGTTTGGTGTGTTATAGTAATCTGAAATACAAACCAACCAAAATGAGTTCAGAAGGGCTGTGTGGTTTTATAGTGTATTCTACATAAAGTAAATTTCATAATTTCCCTGGTCTTCCATTGAGTTTTTCCTTCCTGATAAAGAAGGCAAACATTAGTGGAAAAAATGTGTTTTTGCTTTCTTGGTAATTCTATACACAAACTCAAACTAATAAAAATGGTATCTATTAATCTTTTTTTTAGATCTCTTCCGCTAAAGGAGAATCTGTCTGCAGCATCCAATGACAGTAACAATAATAACAGGGAAATGGTGAGATAAACTTCGGCTACTTGTTCATTACAGCTAAGCTTACCTGACCTAACCTGTCTCCTCTATTCCTTGATATTCTGGGGAAAATTTAATTTCTATTGCTACTAATACCACTTTTATCATCATTATCATAAACCCTATATTGATTATGATGATGTATACCATAACGGCAATAAATCAATAAAACAAAACAACGGTTATTAATGAATATAGTTCATTGTATTGCACCCAGTCTCAATAGATTAATGCATCCCCAATCTGACTCTGGAACTATGGTTTCAAAGTTAAATAAGAAATACCTTCAAATGGACTTCTGAACGCAAGGATAAATATAAGGATAGTAATGGGATGACTTAACAGGAAAAATGAATTAAAACATTTATATACCAGATACACTTCAAAATAAAAAATAGTGAAGTTCATGACGTAACCCAATTCTGAGCCATAAAGTCAGATAATTGAAAGAAAAATTGAAAGCACAGGGAAGACATGTTTATCCAACTGTATGCCTCTGGGTGCAGCATACACAATTTTTCAGTGACTGAGACTAAGAACAGGCTTTAACCTCACTTCAAGCCATGTGAATAACTGTTTAGGGTCCACAACTTACAGCAGGCTGACTGTATGTGTCCTGTATATTTGCTGCCTGGGGTTTAGTTCATCATTGCAAGAATAAATGTCTACTATCAATGATGAGTAATAAAAAAAAGAGAGAAAGTATATTATAATAATTAAAATAAATTGCTATTATTCAATTGCCTTATGACATTCTTTATTTTATAATGTGAAGGCCCTCGGATATTCTAGCAATATAGAACTTAGACAGGGTCCTTATTTGATAATAAAATGCATGGGAAACCTATGTTACCTCTTGCCAGAATGAATACTGGTGTGTTTTTTTTTTTTTTCTGAACTCAACTCACTGCAGGTACTGATATTTACCAGCATATAGAATATGGTCATGTGGTCAATACAAATACTGATGGATGCCTCTCCCTTCTTTTAGGACTATATATATTATACATATACTATTCATATACCACATAAAAGATGAAGCATATCACATTCAGGTTACTGTGTAACCCTTCTTGTGATATGCCCTATGCTCCATCATATTTTGTATATGTGCAGGATGCAGGGCAGGGGTTGCAGGACAACTTTTCCTTTAAAATAAATACAAATATCTAAGGTCATGGTATAGGTAATGTGAAGCTACATTCACTGACATTAAAATCAATTTCTAAATCAAAATGATTTAAGGAAACTGACAAAAATGTATTGCGGAAAATGCCACACAGAGACGAAGTCCACACAAGCCTCCCATAACTAAGCCCACCCTTCCCTTCCCTCACAGAAAAACTACTTGCACAGTAACCCAACATAAACTGTCTTGGCACATATAGCTCATACCATCACAGGCAATCATTGTCACTCTCAGAAATGCACTGCACATTTCATGTATTTCTGTATTTTAATTCATTGAAATAATACTGAAATAAGTATTCATTACATGTACATTCCCTAAATACGTTGTGTTCTATATCATTAAAAGCACATATTTATTTTATTAGAATTTCGCAGCCATCTAGCTGATAACTCCACAATTCTCTTGTCACAGTATTAAGTGCTTATTTCTATAGTGAAGTTTGTTTACAGTACAACTTCAGTTTACAAATTCTTTCCCAATATTCCCGTGAAAGCAATCTCTTCTAGAAATTGTTATGGCCTTAGGGTTAACACTAAATTCAGTGAAGTACCGCAGTGTATGCCCACCATGTGGGAGCGGCATTACCAAGTCTGTCTGGTACTCACCCCTGCCATGAATACGTAGTTTCTTTGCCACATATAGACGACTGATTGTGCGTATATTTCTTTGGGGGATTGGGGCAGGGGGTTTGGGGGGGTTTCCCCGCAATAATTTCTATTTATTTGGAAACTAGACAGTAAGAGGAATCCAACGGTACTGAAATTGTCGCAATCCATTAGGTGGACGAATTCAAAAAAATTTCCTTTATTTTGGGCACATCCAAGATCTCGTTGTGCTGTACTTTCCATACTAGCTGCTACTATCATCACTTTGGTTAGTTATAAAAAATTAAAGTTGCTACACCTAGACAGCACTCATCAAATGCAATCCCTCGATATGTGATTCATTACTATTAGCAATGCATAACTTCTGTATTTAATTATTGTTTTCTCATGATTTTTGCATTTTGAAAGGCAAGTCTAGAGGGTACATTTTTTTTTTCTTTTTTACCAGTGACTACATTTTGTATGCAATATCTTTGTTATGTAATACACTCACTTCTAGGTTCTTTAAAGATATACTTCCTACTGCCATAAAAACAATGTAAAATAGATTTAATAACTAAACAATAATCATTTTATATCAGAGCTTAATAAATTACTCATAACGGGCGCAAATGTTATGACGTGTCACCCAAAAATTCGCGTTATGCCCCCTAAAAGCCCAGAAAACCTACCAATTCTAAACCTCCAGGCTTTCAGGTCAAAGAATCAAAGCCTAAAATCCTCACCTCGACTTATTCGACTCCTTCACTTGAGCAGGAACGTCAATATCTCCTGAAATGTCTATTTCCACGTCACCTGAAGAGACCGACATGATGATCTTGAATGTTTACACTGTAGAAGAACAAGCGACCGTCTTGTAGCGTCCAAAACACCTTTAATAAGAGGATCGAAATGTTAATAAGGCG